TGTGTTCCTCATCTCTCCTGCGAGAGAACTTCGTACCCTTTTAACTGTTAGACATCAGCAAAATTTGGCCTTCAGTGAAGACTTATTTCGGCTTCTTGGGAGAGAAGGAGAGATGGAATCTACACTACTGGATCTGGGCAATTTCGGGTACTCCTCGACTGACGGAACTGCCGCTTTTCTGTGGACTTTGCTGCACTCCTTCCCCCCTCGCCTCCCCATCACCTCCAAACGACTCGACGGAAGCATAAGCATAGTAGTGGTGAGAGAATTTGGAGGTATTAGTAGCGGTGGGCGTTGTGAGGGGACGGGGAGTTCCCACTGAAGGAAGCTCGTCGTTGTGATCTTCCTTGGCCGCTATGTCGGCTCGTAAACTGCTAAAATCGTTCTTGCCCACTTCCTTAATGAAATGTTGTCCAATTTCCTTCATCGTCCCAGTTCCAGCGCAACCGCAATGTTTGCATTTCATCATCAATAACTGTCCTGACAAATATTTAGTTTCGATGAATAACACCGAAAAAGCAGGGAAGAAACGAATCGTAAGGCACTTCAAAGGAGGGGAGGGGAGGGGAGGTGGTACTAAAGGGTGTCGCTGAGGGGTTTTCATCAGGGGAGAACAGGTGTTACTCGCTCATGGGATCCGTGTTGGTATTTGTCCACTCCTTCCTTCTTCCCCCCCCCCCCTCCTCCCTCCCCTTTTGGTCAAAGAGTTTTATTCTCTATAGAGCGACTGATGGCTATAGGTAATTCTAAAGGTTGTTTATTAGCGGACGATTCGTAATCTTTACTCGATGCTTTCTAGTTAAAAAATTCAGATCAAAGCAGTTTGTTTCGCAAGTGCCTCTAGAGCGTAAGTCTGAACAAATAGCATATCCTTTTCCCTTGAGGACGGAGGTGTGTAGTTACAAGTGACTCGCTTACCACTCGCCTTGCCTCGGGTTCGAATAGCGGGTCGACTCCGGATCGGCTCCCGCCCAGGCCAACCAAGCCTTATACCCTACGGGGACGGTAAATAGGTACCAGAATCGTCTGGGAGGATAAGATCCCTGACTTGTTCATCCCAGCTGGCCCCCCGCAAAGCTAATTCTTATAGGCCACATCGCATCCACAAGCCACTAAATGGAAGTTAGAATGCTTGAACATTCCGCAAAGGGTTTGATCAACACGAAGACTTCGTCCTTTATTCCTTCGTCCTTCCGTTACGCTCAAGTTAAATGTAAAAGGGGACAGGTGAACTTGGAAAACTGGAAGTTAATGCCAAATTGAATGGTACTTGAGACAGCGATTCAGGGGGTTCTGAGCATTGTCAGAACCACGTCTATCTGGACGTTGAATGCGACTGAGTAATATCCTGAATACCTTGCCAAATGGGGGCTCGCTTTGGCGGCCAAGCCGATGTAAAACTTTAGCATTTTAACCTCCAAGGGAATCTGGGCTGAACGGTAGAAGCTGGTTGGCCTTGGGCGCGAAGTCGACCTGGGGGATTTCAAAACCCCCCCCCCCCCCCCCCCCCCCCCCCCCCCCCCCCCCCCCCCCTCGGGACGCGCGAGCGAGTAAGCGTGCGTAATTGCCCACCACACACTTCTTGCTCTGCTACATATTCAGTTATTATTTTTAATTATAAACTTTTGGTCATGTCGCCTTTTTGATTGTTTGTTGTTTGCAGCTTTCTACATCTGCTCCATTTGGATGCTGCTAACCCGAACAAGACCGTCCCGTCGGTGTTCAGGGACTGCGCGGATGAGTTCATCGTTGGGAAAGGATGAGAAATACGCCTCCTGCAATATCACCAGCGATGACACGCCCTGTTACCTTCTTGAGGTGATTTTTATTGAATTCATCACAATATTTGCAACGAAAATGTTGTGTATTTTGTGTTATCCATCCTCTATCCACTTTCTGGGCATCAACTGAGAGCCACAGCTTCCCTATTTAGATCCCACATACATCATGGAACCAGCTCATAATTGATGTTGAGTAGATCTAAAAAGTTTTTTCTTCAATGACGCCCCTCGCCATAATTGGTCGGGCGGAAGGAAGCGCAGTGACTTATAACCGTTTTGTCTTTGTCATTTATCTGCCCTTCTCTTTATCCTATTGGGAGTACAGATGCACTAGGGAGGTACAACGTTTGTAACTCCCCGCCCATTCCATTTGCGCGAAATGTGTCTTTAGGGCACACGGTTGTACTGCGCATCGAAGCAAGCGGGCAGTGTGGCCGGGGGCGGACGGTTATCGTCCTGGTGGAATGGCTGACTGGGGTGTGGCCGAACCCTCTCTTTTAGCCCTTCCTCCAGCGACGTTGGCGATAACGGCACGCTCCTCAGCTATCGTGCCCAGTGTCTTTAAATGAACAAATACATAAATAAATGCAACCGTGAGCGCGGGTTGGATCTCGAAAAGCAAGATTGGTGCTAAATAAGGGAATAACACCTTAAAGTGCTCGCAGAAAACGAGAAGCAGGTCTCATAGGTAGAAGATTTCGCTCGAACTTTGCATTGTTTGTGTTAAGCACCTACTTCTTTTGTCATGTTCGCTGCGGATGAAGGGGCGTGTCAGGCGGGATGGATGAGTTTGTCACGTTGCCAAACCTGTTCTTTACCAGTTGTTGAAGCAAGTGACAAGGCTGTATCATATCGTTCGTATCTCGTTTTACACCAGTTGTTGTCGCATAGACGCTTCAACAATTGGCAGAGAACGGGTTTGGCGCCGTGGCACACTCATACTGCCTGACACGCCCCTCATCCGCGGCGAACTAGCATATACCTCTTGCCGCCCACCCTTTGATCTGCTCCACGCGTTGGGGAAAGCCAGAAAGATGTACCTTGGAACACAATCTGGGAAGTTATAGGGGAAAGAGCTGAGTAGATTCCCGAATTTTCTTTGCCATTTTTGGGTGTATTTTTCCGTGAAACGAGAAGGATTTTTTCAACAGTTTGTTTTCACAGATGGCGTGAATAAAAAAATTGGTGTGTGTTGAAACATTTCCTTGTTAAGGAATTGCACAAGGCGAAAGAGTTTCGAGTCTATGGTTTTACTGTGATACCAATCGTACTCTCAGTGCTGGCTATGATTCTCAATGTCACTTACTTGATTATTCAGCTGAAGATCTATCGAAAGGAGGAGGAAGGGTGAGTGCTGATGGTTACTTTGATTTCTACTTCATTTCCAATTTCAGTCTATTTTGAATATTTTGTTCACTTTTTATCAGGGCACATCGTTGTTGGGGATTCTCCAGCAGGAGAAGGGCGTGTTTGGTCGCTGGGAGAGAGACGGGGTCGTATTCAGGCTGATGGCTTGATTTTTCCTGTTCAATGAACGTTAGTTGTCAAAAGGGCGAGAGGGTTCGCGCTTAGGCGTTGTTTGGACAAGGCACATCGTATGTTGGGAATCCTCTATTAGGTGGGGGTGTATTTGGCCCCAGGAGGAAGCGGGTTCGTTTGATTGGGAAAAATTATTTTGCATAGTTTATTTTTCTCGCCTTCATGCGACGTTCGTAAAGAGGAGGGGGGGGGTTAGTAGGGTCGTACTTAGGTGATTTTTGCGGAGGGGAGTCGTATTTCAACAAGAATTTGGCTTGTAGAGAGAGTTGGCTACTTTTCGTGATTTTCCTGTTCATGCTCTACTATATGCCCCCTCCCCCCTCCCCACCTCCCCTCCCCGCTCGACAGCAAAATTTTTGGTAAAAAGTAGAAAGTTTTCGGGAAATTTTGGAAAAAAGTGGCAGGAAGTTGGAGAAAATCTGAAAATTGGTGGAAGGCGTTGTAGTGTCCTCGCGATTTTCTTTGATAATACCATGTGCTATTTACAGGCCGCCCCCCCCCCCGCCCTCGACGGCTCGAATTCGCATGGAGGAAGGACAGAGGGCCTGAGCGGGAGGGGGGGGTCCGACCAAACGCCCAAAAGGAGGGGGGTCGTATAGAAATACAAATAAATCCCCAACCGCGATGATGTGCCCTGTTGGGAGAAGGGTCGTACTTCCCTTCTGATCTTCTCAAGACGATTGCTGAATTTAATGATATTCCCTGTATGTGTACCACATACCCCCTGTCGACATTTCGATGAGGAGGGAATCAGGGTGGGGGTCGCACCAACCCCGTGCGACCCTTTAAGAAAGAGGGGGTGCATAGAACCAACACAAATCCCCAACCAATGATGTGCCTTTCGTTTTGATGTATTCACGTCGACTTCACACTAGGATTCAGGATCACTGTTGTTAACACTATTTATAATATTATTACGTGATGTCTCCAACAAACGAGCGCTCCGCCATACAGAATCCGCTTAGCATCGAGATCCGCTCGGGTGTTTTTTGCTTACGTGTGACTGGAATTCTGTTTGCACCGAACAGGAAGAGGTGGCGCAATTACAACGAGAGTAATAGATTGGCTTGGACATTTTGCGTTTCCGATTATGGCCACAAAAATTTTGAATGTTGGTGATATTCCGAATGTTGCTGGTGGAGTACACAATTGATTATAATGAAAGATTAATGCCGGAAAGAGAATGATCATTCAGGATGACAACTGACAGATATGTTTTGGTACTATCTGATGAATAAGAGAGTATCAAAGACTAAACGGGATTACACGCAATCCTCGCGTAGCTACCAGCACCAAAGAGCTAGCGAATTTCGCATACCCTTCGAAGGGACCACAGTCCTCGATGGACTGAGATATGCAATCCTTTGTCAGATGTGCAAGTCGGGACAGTCTACTGCAAAAGGCACCGGCTGGCCGACGTTTCTGGCTTGTCAAGATGTCAGACTTTTGGGTGAAAGTGTTCTGAGTGAGAACTTGTTTACACCCCCTCCGAGAGAAACTGAACGCTCACCGCCAAGAACGGATTCCGGGTGCATGGGTCCGAGCTGCCATAGCGTGCCCCTTTCTTCGCTCAAGATGCTCAGGAACTGGGCTCGAGGGTAGTGATACTAGGTGGCGTCCCCATGCTCTGCCCGCGCTGCAGCATTTTCGTCGATACCAGGTCTCGCAGCGACGGAACCACTAAGAGAGCAACTGTGGGCGCGAGGGTCTTATGACTATGGTTATATGAGTGGCTGGCGGTGCAGCAGGGCAGGCGGAGTATGGAGATGGCAGCCCGGTATCACAGCCTTACTGCTCCCTTCCGGTGCACTTTAGAGTGGAGAAAATGGCAGTCACTGCGGTTGGAGACCCATTTATCTCACCATGACAAATACCAGGATCTACGGCGGAGAGTGTACAGTATCGTTCTTCAAATGTACATTCCACGATTAGCTGAGAAATGCGATACCTTACATATACAGCTAGTGCAGGTCTACAATTGCAGAGGTTGCACCGATTTCACGACTTAAAAGTGCTTGTCGTGGGCGTCATCAGTTTACACCCACCTGAGATGGATGATGCCGGAGTATAGTAGCCTTGCTTGTTAGTATGCTCTCACGCCCCTTGTGGTCTGGTGTTTCGTCCAAGCGCTCATGTTTCTGCACATGCAATGGTCAAATTCAATCGCAGTTGTTCTTGTATGGGCACCCTAAAAGGTACGGCATAAGAAAGGACTGCAGTGGAAAAAAAATGGGCTTTCATATACGAAAACATTCCTGCTTTTCAGTTGGATGATGAAAAGTAATTTACCTGGAACAGTGGTTTGAATATGAGAATTGTGCAAATAATTAAACAAGCAGATAGGTTGATGGATAGGTAACTAAATAAATAAATAAATAAATAGATAGTCTTGTTTGCTGCAGACGCAGGGGCAAATTAGGGGACGGGTTTGGCGCGGCGTCAGCCCGTTGTCCGCCACATGTTGAAGCTGGAGCCACGTCAAACCCAGCTTCCCCTGATACGTCCCAGCATCTGCAAACAAGACGTATATAGATAGAAAAGTTTGATAGAAGCAAGTGAAGTCAGTAGCTAAGAAAACGATAATCTTTGCGAGACAATAACTGATTTCAGAGCACGAAAAAGATATCTATTCCTTATCAGCCGGTCACTGAGCACGATAATGGCCCTTGTGCTCCTTTACGTGGTGATTATATGCTGGAAATTGGATGAATTCGCATATGCCACTGCGATGATCTTCTTATTACTTGGTGGTCTCAACTTTCTATCTATTACGGGTAAGTTTTTTCCAAGTTTTCATGTAATGTTCCAGAAGCAAAAACATAAGCCC